TCCTGCTGTTTCTGACATATTGCTTTAAATAAAAGAACAATCTGAAAACTGCTCACAAAGAACTTTGTTTAATTTTGTACTTTCTTCGTTCGATCAAAGGTCGATCAAATGCATGAAATTTATGTCATCAAAAGTTTACTTTCTTTAAAAAAATTGACCGCTATTAAGGCCTGATTATCGTTGCACATTGGTTTATCAATGCTATCGATATCTTTAAATTAAATCGTAACACTAGATTTGTATTCACTCGATTATTGAATGTCACGAATGTTTATTAAATTTTTATTAGCAAAACGTTTGCAGAATACTTAAAACACTAGATACATGCCGATGATTTGGGTACAAAGTTGTAAAGTTGGAAAGTAAGTAAGAAAGGGCAGTGTTTTGGATTGCATTGGATTGTTGATTTTACAAGGATTTTTACTACGGTTATTAACAATTCACATACATAGATATAAAACTTGAAAGGCGTAAGATGAGTTCCGTTCGAGTGACTGAACTGACCGTATGTCAACTCAACACTGGGTCAATGGTGCAACTACCCCTCCTATTTATATTCTCTGTAGACTACTGCGTATGGTATGTCCAAGAGACACCCACCATGGTATTCCCTCCCAATATGGCACCCACACAGAAATCAATAACCTACCCCACTCTGGTATTCATTTTTTTATTACTGCCAAATGAATTGTTTACATTATAACGCAGTAATATTCTTATTAATAATTAAATGTAATAAATTTCGATAGTAGTATTAATTAATTTATTTATTCTTGGAATTTATTTGTTTATTATTTATTTTTACTATTTGTTTAAAATTACATATTTAAGAAAGATAAGAGATTTTTACTGTATAAATGAATAAAGATTGATTCAGAAATATTTTTATTTTTGATTGATCTTGAATAATAGAAAATTAAAAATTGTCACATCTAAAAAGATTATTTATATAATAAAAATGACATTTAAAGTAGTATACATTTTTAAAATATATTTATACATATTAATAGATACAATATTTTTATGAAAGTAAAATATCTTACATAGTAACAACTGAAAAATTATATGAAATATAATTAGATAAAATTAATTTCATTTAAAAGGCATATAAATTAATGATTTAATTCAACTGTATAACTACATTTTGAATAAAATACATAATTTTACTAGGATCTGTGGACTTAAGACACAGCACTGCAGTTAAATTTAGATCAATGAGACTAGATACTGCTTTAAGTTTAAAGTTAGCTCAGAGTTACCCCAGTTAGGGCTCTTAGTTGAGCCACAAGTCTCATTTGAATGGAATCAATTAAATTTCTTTAAAACATCATTAAAATTAAATTAGAAATGCCTTTACCAAGTGGAAGTAAAGAACCAGATGACAGTCAAACGTGGGAATTAGCAGAAAGATGTCTTCTCCCAATTGCATTTTCACATGCAATTGCAGTTATTTTAGCAACTATATTAAATGTATTGAGTATATCACAAACATCTAGTTTTGTGCTTTTTCTCCTATTATTGGTTATATCTATAGGATCTACGCTATTTTATCACAATCTAAAGGTAAGTACTTAAAATCACATATGTTTATTAATTTATGAAATTATACGATAAATATCTACTATTACTTCATTTTCTTTTAATTACATTAATACTTTCTAATTTTAATATAAGTAACATATGAACATATATTTTGTAATATTAATATAAAGTATATAATAATGCAAAAATATAAATGTTTTTCTGCAGGTAAGTGCTGCAGGAAAAGCAGTTCTTATTACAGGTTGTGATTCGAGAGTTGGATATACTTTAAGCAAACAATTGGATGAACTGGTAAGATAATTTTTATATATTCTTGTTATAATTTCAAACATATGTTCTATATATACAGAATTTATTTTGTAAAGGGATTTACAGTATTTGCTGGTTTTAATACGAAAGTAGAAAATGAAGAAGTAATGCAAAAATTAAAACAAGAAACTTCTGGTCGATTACATATATTGCAACTAGATATAACTAGTGAACATGATATTCACTCAACATTTCTTTATGTAAATGAAAACTTGCCAGATGGTGCACCAGGTTTAAAATTACACTTTTTTATATCTACATGAAATCTATTTATTATAGTACATACGTGATACTCATAAACATCTTATAATAGGTTTATGGGCATTAGTAAATGCTGCTGCTTGGGTGACTTTAGGTGAATGTGAATGGGTGCCTCCTTCTGTATTAAAACGTAGCATAGATATCAATTTCATTGGTCTTGCTAGATTAACTCAGGTTGTCTTATTAATATAATACTTAAAATTATTGTAATAATTAAATTTAATATTAATAAAATAACAATTTTTATTTAAAGGTCTTTTTACCTC